GTATGAGTCATTACCATATGAGCAGAATGGATGATAATGAGCAATCCGAAAACGCAGATCAAATATGCTATTTGCCGCATCATGCCGTAAGGAAGGACTGAGCACGTCTACAAAACTGCGAGTAGTGTTCGACGCGTCTTGTAAAACAGAAAATGGTATTAGTCTTAATGATGTGTTATTAAAGGGCCCCGTTATCCAAGACGAGTTATTATACATTATTTCGCGATTTCGGATTCATAACTATGTCTTAACGGCCGATATAGTTAAGATGTATCGGCAAATATTAATGACCAATAAACATCGCGATTATCAAAGGATATTATKGCGYACCGATCCTAATCAACCCATACAAATATATCGTCTAAACACAGTTACATACGGTACGGTTCCCGCATCATATTTAGCGACAGGTTGTTTACAGGTGTTGGCCGAAACGGTACGCGAACAATTTCCATACATCACATCTATTATCAACCGCGATTTTTATATGGACGACCTACTGACCGGAGCCGATACAGAAGAGGAAGTGATTAAAATACGCGACGGCTTGATCGCAGTTATGAGYAGTGCCGGCCTAACGTTACGAAAATGGTCATCTAACGATACAAGTTTGATAACATYTAGTCTACCKGGCGAAAACATAGAAATATCAAATAGGTACAAACTCAATCATTCGTTAAAGAAAATATTAGGTTTATTTTAAGATGCTACGTCAGATAAATTAAAATATAATGTGCGCGAAAGCAAGAAGGTAGAGGGGATGCCTGTTACTAAACGTGAAATGCTATCCGATATAGCTGCGATTTTCGACCCGTTGGGTTTAGTCGGACCATTGATAGTTCGAGCGAAAATAATATTACAATCGTTATGGCGTAAGAATATTGATTGGGACGAACCCGTTCCGGCGGATATACGAGAACAATGGTTTGAATATAGAACACAATTATCCGCCGTAAACAAGTTGTCAATATCACGAAAAATTACAAACAACTTAAAATCATGTTTTATTGAGGTCCATGGATTCTCGGACGCTAGCACATTGGCGTATGGATGTTGTTTATATTTGAGGTGTACGGATGATGCGGGTATTCATCATACTAATCTAATATGCGCAAAATCCAAGGTAGCGCCTTTGAAAACACTGTCATTACCGCGACTAGAACTCTGTGCGGCACTGTTGTTAACGCGCCTAGCGAATAAATTAATACCGAAGTTACAATTAAAAATTAGGCAACAGTATTTTTGGACTGATTCCAAAATAGTATTAGCATGGATTGCCTCATCTTCGACGAAATGGAGAACGTTTGTTGCCCATTGAGTAGCTGGAATCCAAAACAAAACAACAATGAGCCATTGGAGTCACATCAGTACAAGCGATAACCCGGCTGACGTRATATCTAGAGGTTGCTGTCCGTCTAAATTAATTAATTTAGATTTATGGTGGTCGGGTCCTAGCTGGTTGACGAAGATGAATCTACTTGGCCCAAATACTCAGATGTTCATCATGAATTAGAAAACATTCCGGAAAGTAAAGACAATAATATTWGCGTTATGTGTGTCATTGATCATGAAGATTTTATATTAAATAATTATGAGTCATTGAATTAGTGTTTAAGAGTAACCGCATATTGTCTAAGGTTTATAAATAACGTGCGTACGCGTAAGAATAATGATATTAAATTAACAGGTCCGTTAATGCCAGAAGAATTGGAAAAGGCAACTTTAAAATTGATAAAAAATACACAAAATATTGGTTTTGTTGACGAACTACGGGAATTGACAAACAGCAAGGCAGTTTCAACCAATAGTAAACTTTTTCGCCTCAGACCATTTATTGACAGTAACGGTGTCATACGCGTTGGCGGTAGAACGCCGCAACCATCGATATTTTTCAACGTCACCCCATTGCATTACCCGTGAACTGTGAGTTTGCAAAAATGTTATTTCGTGAACAGCATATAATTCTTATGCACGGTGGTCCGCAGATTTTACGAGTATTATCAACTATTCGTTTAAAATATTGGCCAATTAACGGTCAAAATTTAGCGCATAATACGCGCATAATATATTTTTTTTTTATTGTTTATGTTGAAAATTAATATTTTCATGCCAGGAGTGTGATAGCGCTCGAATGGTATTATATTATTATTATTACTTTATAAGTTGTCGCCGCTCGCCATCTCAGCCATATTATATTATTATCTTTATATTGTACTTGCAATAATTTGTGTTATAAGCAGTCGCGTATCGAAACTTGTACCGAGCACAGCTAGCGACCCTACAGCTATTCGTGTTTAATAAAGTCTTACACAGTCCACTTAAATCGTCAGTCTTTTTTATTAAAGATTGGTTCTCAGCTATTAAACATGTTCGAGCCGGATAGAAATATCGTTTGAACTTAATTTGAAATAGAGTTTTTAGTTATAACATATTCAAAATTTTATGTCTACTATCAGGTCATGCATAGAATTAATCATTATAAACACAGTAGTTTAAGATTAATATTTAATTATAATAGTTTATAGCTAAAAGTTTTATTTTTAGAAAATCTCGGAAAATTGAATGCAAATATATATAAATAATAAATATATATAAAATCGCAATTCTTATCTCTGTTGAATATTATATAAACAAAAGATTAACCGTTAAATATATTTAAGATGCATATTTATAAACCGTGTAAAATAAAATAATTATTTAAAATGTAATCAACTTACGTTGCTCTTATTATAAAAAGAGAATACCCAATAATAATTAAAAATTGTATATTATATTTAATAATTATAAAATATTCATAAATTGTTATGATTAAAGTTGAAAACCAAATTGATTTATTTGAAATGTTGCCACAGAATTTTTTAGTTTTTCGGTAGAATATAATTTTTGAAACATGATAATAAGGGTAGAAATATCGTTAGACCTTAATTCGAAATGGAGATCTGAGTAAAAACATATTCATATTTTTATCTTTAGTATCAAGCCATGCATAGAATTAATCATTATAAACACGGTAGTTTAAGGTTAATATTTAATTATAATAGTTTATAACTAACAGGTATTTTTTCATTTAGAAACACGGAAAAAATAATGTGGAGATTTAAAAAATAACATCTAACCTCTTATCTAAATTATGTTGAACATAATATAAACTTAAGATTGAACTTAAAACGTATTTAAGAGCCATGATATTATAATAGTGTAAAACCAAATAATGATTTAAAATTAAATCAACTTACGTTGTACTATTATAGACAGTGAATACCAGATAAAAATGAATAAAATTATAATTATTTTTTAAAATCATAAACTATTCATAAAATATAATGATGAGAGTGGAAAAACAAGTGATTTATTTGAAATCTTTTCACTGAATTTTTATGTTTTTATGTAGAGTTTAATTTTCGAAACATAATAATTAGGGTAGAAAACTCATTTGATCTTAATTTTATATAGAGTTCTTAGTTTTATCATATTCATACTTTTATGTCTAATATCAGGCCATGCATAGAATTAATCATTATAAACACAGTAGTTTAAGGTTAATATTTAATTATAATAGATTATAACTAACAGGTATATTTTTTTTAGAAACACGGAAAAAATAATTCAGATATTTAAAAAAAAAAATCACACTATTTATTTAAATCATGT